GTTGGTCACTGTACAGTGGGTGGGGAGATCAGCAAATACTTTGTCAGATGTGTTAGCTAAGCAAGGGGTAAATAGGGAAGAATTATTTTGGGCTCAGTTGTGATTATTGTTTTTCTTTCCTAGTTTACTTGTAAGACTCAAGGAGGGGCAACAGCTCGTGCCTCTTGTTGGGATGATGTATGAACTCACTCTAAAGTTGCTTTTGGATCAATAAACTTATTATTATTCATCAAAAAAAAGAAATAACAGGAAATTAGATGTGGGTTCTAAACCCAACTTGCCCTACCCTTGAATGCAGGGAGGGTAGGGTTCGGGGGGGGGGGTTCTTTTTCATGTGTGGGGGTTTGGATTCTCAAAATTCATCCAGCTACGGGTTTTGGGGTGGGTACAGGTTGGGAGGTTTATACAGGCAGGTAGGGCCTAGAATTTACAAAACCCTCCTCGAACCCATCCCGTTGCCATCCCTACTCCCCCTCCCGTGGGAATGAGATCCCATTTCAGCTGATACCATTTCTGATTCCGATTCCCGTCTGAACCAAACAGGCTATTGGGAGTAGACTATTCCAATTCCGACTGCAAACCAAATGGACCCTTAATTTTTTTCTCTTCTCTTAATCTCTATCTAGATTTTTGATTTCTAAAAATTATAGCATTCTTTAGTTACTAATAGTTTTTTGACATGCAATTGCTCTATTACATGTTATATTGCAATTTTGTGTTTGAAAATTTGAAATTAATAGATTTAAAATGCTATTTTCTTTTGGAAATGATAACTTACCACGTTTTCATATGAAATTCATTGTTATTTAGTAAGCAATTTTTCTATTTTATATGCTTGTTGATTGGTACATAAACCTAAGAAGTTACTCTAGATGGTTAGTTGGCTTTTTTTTTTTTTTTTTTTGAGAAGAGGACGGTAAATTGTATTAAGTATAATCGAAAGGTGAAACTGTATAATGAGATTCTGTACTTTTTTTGACAAGTGAAAAGTAATTCTATTAGAACTGCATTTTTTACATAGGATTCAGATTTCCCCAAAAAGTAAACAGCTAAAAAAGAGGAGAGTACACAAACCAGCTAGAAATAGAGCATTTGCTTATTGAAGGGAACTCCCAGGTGATTGTGGGTTGGTTGCAGGATCCGGATTCTGTGGTCTGGAGCTATAGAGATCTCCTTAAAGAGGTTAAATGACTAAAAAGGAATATGACAATTAGAGTTCAGTGGGTAGGGAGATCAACAAACTCAATGGTTGACTCACTTACAAAACAAAGGGTTTCTCGGGCTTCTTTATTTTGGGCTACCTTGTAATTTTATTTGAACTTATAATTCTCTGACCAATCTTACAGGTAAGGTTGCATCTCGTGCCTTTCCCTGTGTTGCCTGTAACTTGTATTTGCTGGATTAATAAAATTTTACTCATTTATCAAAAAGAAAAAAGAGGAGAGACTGATAACCAGTGTCTTAGAGCCTCCACTACACCATTGATCACTTCACTTGGTTACTCTTCTGTTCAAAGACTAACCATTGTCTTAGATGGTTAAGTGGCTAGACGCTTTACTGTTGCCTATAATCATACACATTCTATCTTTGAATTTTTTCCCCGTTTTACTTTTTAAAGTATTATTAAGGAGATTCAAGAATTTCTTCCAATCTTAGTACATTTGACATACTTTATTCCTATTAGAGTTTAGTTTAATCTTATTTTATTTTACTCATTTGGTCATTCTCCCTCCCACTTTTCAGACATGGTGATCTTATCACCTTTTATTAGGGCTCAAGCCTTCAAACTGTATATCTTTTTGTGGCTCTTCTCCAATATTTTATTTCTTATTAATGACAAAAAACCTCTTTTCCTGTATAACCTGGGGATAGGTGAAACAAAATTCATGTTTTTGTCATGATGAACTGGGATTGAACCTTTTGTTTTTTAATGTTATCCTGAAAAATTGAGATTGAAGCAGTTTTTGTGAATTTTATCTCATTTCGTATTTCATGATATTTTCCTACGATTGCCAAGGATAAATTGTCTTCTTTCTGTTACTTCATTTTCTATATTTATCACTTTACTTAATTTTTTGATCAATCACTCTACTTAATTTTTTGATCAATCACTCTACTTATTTTTTTATAACTTGCATGCCAGACATTTGATGCTGTTGATGGAAAGCAAGCAAGACGTACAAATTCTTCCAGTCCATTGGGAGAGCTTTTTGACCACGGTAGCTTTCCTTACTCTTTTTTTTTTCATTTGTTTTCTATTCTAATGCTTTTACTTTGCTGAAATGTTAATCTTCAATAACCAATTGCAGGATGTGATGCGCTTGCATGTGCAGTATGTATTATTGCCTTTGGTTGTCATTTTATGGCTGTCACAGTTGGGTTTCCTTAAGGACTTGCATTCTGCTTTATCAGTTTGAAACCATGGCTTTTGGGAGCACCTCCATGTGTGGAAGGAGCAGTTTCTGGTTCTGGGTTCTTGCAGCTGTCCCATTTTATTGTGCAACATGGGAACAGTAAGTTATGCTAAGCGTACTACCTCAATATTCATATTTATGTTCTTTTCCTTTTTTAAAAATTATTTTTGTGGGTAGAGAATCTATAGCACCTTATCACTAGTGGGGAACTTAGTTCTCCAGTTATTCATGCACATTCCCTTTTTTTTGTTTCTGACAATATTGCCTAGGACAGTTTAGTCATTGCATTTTAGGGGGATGAGTTATTCACGAGTTTGTCAAAGAAGTGGAAAGGAGTGCTACTTGGGTGGACCTGGGTTGAGTAGTTGTTACATTTTGAAAGGGTCCTGGGCTGCCACAATGGAAAATCCTCAGAAAGGTTTCCTGATTTGTGCTTGTAGAAAGGGAAACTTAAATGAAACTACCAATCACTGGCATACAATGATGATCTTGTATACCTTTGAATGCAATCCCTTTTTATTAGCACTTCTCTTATATGCTTACAATTGGCCTGAGATACATTTGATAGATTGTTGCCTACATGATCTTTTCAATTCTTTTGGGGGCTTGGGAAATGTAGCTATGTAAGTTTCTCTCCAATTCAACGCTCAATGGAGTTCTAGATGTTTGACCATTAAAGGAGTGCATGCTTATTAATTTCTTCAGGCTCTCTTCTGTATTCACTAGATTTTAAATCTCCTATAACTTTATTATTTTCCTTGAAGGTTGTCTCTGTTCAGGTAGGATAAATTTGGAAGACACCACTCGAGTTTTTTTTCCCAACCATGCTTTTATCATTCAACAAGGGATGTAGATTTTTCTTTTTGGAGAATCCTGTCTGATATTTGCTTCCATTGAAATTGAAATCAGCCCTGCCAAGGCCATGGAATACAATGCTTTTCCAATTCCTTTTTTTTTTCATTTTTTTTGCTTTCCTTTCCCTGAAAATCCCCCTTTTTCCTTTTCTTTCTAGAAATATAATTTTACCCAAGAAAGTTTGTTGATTTATGGGCATTGTTTTAGTCACTATTTACTTGAGTTCCATTTATAACAAAATGAATATAATTTTTCTGATGCCTGTTTCTCTGTGTGTGTGTGTGTGATATATATATATATATATATATATAAACATCACTCCTGCAGTGAATTCCCATGCTGAGTCAAGGCATCTTTTCTTGTCAGTGAGCTATTTTTTTGTTTTGTTTTATCTTTAATATGTTATGTGGCTGTGTTTGTCCATTTTTCGTTTCTTTTTCTTTTTCTTTTTTTTTTATTTTTTTGGGGGGGGGGGGATGGACAAGCTATTGTGGTCAACAAAATTTGCTTATTGGTACCTTTTTTCTTTTAGATGTTAGATGTTTAAATAGCAAGAATCTTCATTGGTTATGGCTGAGATGCTTCTTTTCGGGACTAATAAAGTTATGGAGGCAATTATCACATGGATAATGATACTACTGAGCTATGTGTAGTGCTGATTAAGTATATCTACATGGAGTAATATTAGCAGGCATTTTATCAATGATTCACTGATTTTGCATTTTGTCTTCATTAAGTTCCTTTTAAACAAATTCTCAATGCCAGTAATGTTATAGTGGGTTCTCTAGAAGTTACTAATGTATTTGTTTTTGGTCCAGCTTTTTCACCAATACACTCATTCTTCCTGCAGTAAATGGACCTACAGAAGGTCTAATGCTGATCTACATGTGTCACTTTTTTACAGCTTTTGTTGGTACTCCCCTAGCTTTGGACATGAAGTAAACATACATACCTAATTTTATGTGGTCAAACATCATTTCAGTCACAGTTTACTCTAATGTGCTTTCAAACTTTTTGTGTTTTAGTAATTGTGTGATGTGATGGTTTTTTCCTTCACTTCTTTTTCAGGTGCTGGGTGGTGGGTAGACAACTTTGGGAAGTCTATGCCATTTCTGAGTTGGATACCATTTGTTTATGGTAAAATTGACTCCATCTAACATTTAATAAATTACAGAAAATTGCCTTGGAATATCTTTTTCATGGAATTGTTTCTCCATATATAGATCTGAAGGTACAAATCAATAGATGGATAGAGTGTGGTTCCATATATTTGCTTTAGTTTTTTTTTTTTTAATTTTTTATAAGTGATTTTTCTTTAGGTTTCCTTTTAGCAAAACTTGCTTTGGTGATTTGCATCTAATGTGCTCTGTTCCGATGATCTTGTTTATGTTACCTACTTTAAATTTGACCCTACCTTTCTTTTATTGTTAATCAACCTTGAGTGTTGATGTTGACTGATGATCTTGTTTGAACACCTCTACAGGGTAGGTCTTACAAATTTCAGATGTGATGGTGGGCTTTGTGGGGGTGAAGGAAGGGCTTTGGGGAAATATAGAATAGGGATGGAATACCAAGTAGACAGCTTGCTATCCACCGAAGAATGAGCAAGAGATTAGAAAGAATGAGAACTGTTGGTTTTAAGTAAACAACAAAGAGACAAATCACTTTGAAGGGAAATAGGTGGGACAAAGGGGAAAAAAGAGAAATTCCTGGAAAAATCAGTCCAATAGTCTTTGTCCTTTAAGCAATATGTCAAAATTTCTAAAAGATTCTTGCTATTTAAGCATTGTACAAATCATTTTTTTTTATCAATAGATTCAATACATTGTACAAATCAATCCAAAGATCTAGGCCATCAAAGCGGTCATTTAAGATTGGTGGATTAGTCTCAACACTCAACCATCCAAGTAATTCAACCTTTTTGTGACATCCAAATGATGTATCGGTTTGACCCAAAACTCTAGTCTATCAAAGTTGTTTCCCAATAACAAGGAATTAAACTTAGTCATCCAAGTAAAACTGTAAAAGATTTCAAATATTGTAGCCATTCAAGTAGTGCACTGAAATTTTTCGAAAGTCCAGGCCATGTAAAGTGATGAACCAAATAAAACCTGAGATCTGGGCCATCAAAATAGCCTCCTAAGATCTATGATAATCTCAGCCATCAAATTGATGTACTGAGATGTCAACTAATCTGTCCCATCAAAGTGGTCTCCTAGAGCAGAAAATCTATCCTGCCCATTCAAGTGATGTTCCAAGATATCAATCAATCAAAGTCATCTATCTGATATGCCAATTTGAAGCAATGATCTGGTTCTTCATTATGGTGTCAATTAAGGATCAAAATTTTGCAATGTATTGGTGACCCACCAATATGTGAAATATAGGGAGTTTCAAGGGTAGCAGGCCTTATACTGACCCCCTGATCATGTTTGGAAAAAAAAAACAAAAAAAAGCGTGTTGTTGAGGAGTCTGATGTCCTATCCAGCGTATCAGACTTTGTTGATACTTTGAACCTTGGTGTCAGTAATGAGTCAATGTATCTAGACCACCTAAGTTATGTGCTAATGTTTTGACATGGTAAAATAAATGTACTTTGGCATTAAGAAACATTGGGTATCACAACCACCTTCCTTGCGACCACTCTCCCCAAAACCAGTACCACCACCCTCATGTCCTCCGCCTCCACTAGTGTCCACTCACTACCACATGTTTAATTTCGCACTTCACCCTTGGCCCTCTTCATCACCATTTTCATCAGCACCTTCCCTACCACAGCCCCTCCATCCACATCCACCTCCACTTCAACCATTGCTTCTGCCATCACTCCCACCACCAAATCCTACTTTCTCCATCCTCATATTCTCCCCTATTGCACCTAATTTCTTCATCCTCGTATAAAAAGCATCAACAATCTGTGGGCAATGTGGTAATTGCCCACTCACCATTAGCACTGTCAGGGGTTCAACATTATATAAAAGTACAGGTAATCAAGTATCATAACATGCTGATCAGAAGAAAAAAAATGTCATGAACAATAATACAGGGTGCTAACTGTGATTGTCCCCAAAGTACAGGGGTTACTAAATATAGTATAATAGTGTACAAGCCTTGGTTGGATTTTGGAATCCTCTTAAGTTGGTCAAGTTGATGCCCAATGTAAGAGATATTCTAACTTTGCTTAAAATTTAGAACCTCTCATTGATGCCGCGTGCCAGTTATTGGAATTTTTGTTCTTCTCAATAAAAGGCATTATTAAGTTATCAACATAAGCTTTGTAAAATTGAACCAGACAGTTGGTTCTAATCTTTTCTTGGAGGCTCATATACTACTAATCTCCCACACCTTAAGATGCTTGATAATCTTTTCCATCCAGATTTCCCAAGCTACGAGTATTTGTTTTTCATATCTTGTCTTTTCCTTTGTATTTCCTAGTTATTCTTTAATTCTTTTTTTTTTCCTGCCCAATTTGTGAATCTTTTAATGCTCTATTCGTGATGCCATTTTTATTTAGAAATTTGACTGTTTTTTACCTTGTCTTAAATGTCAGCAATTCCAACATACAAAGTTGTGTTGTTTCTAATGATAACTTTTGGTGTTATTCCAACAGTCATATTCAAGTAAGTGGCTTTTTAATTTTCCAAAAGGTTGTATGCTTTTGTTTTATGTGCTCTTCAATTCTTCCTACCCCTGGTATTGTGTGAGTTTACTATATATCATGTGATACCTGGCATACCCATGTTTGTGGTACCTGATCTTCTGAATCCCACTGGGACACCTATTTTGACAGAAAAAGAAATTTGTACAAGCATGAGTTATGATACATGTCATTTATGGATCGATTGCACCTTCATATTCTGTGTGAAATGCTACACAAATTGGAATAGCCATTCTTTGAAAATGTGCATAATGTTGATTCTGAACTTTAGCTGCTATAAATACTTAACATTTACAAGATTGGGTTATAGTTTGTTCATTTGGTAAAGATTGTTGGGCACTTTATCTTCTTTTTCTTCCTTTTTTTTTGGGGGGGGGGGGGGTTGGACACTTCTCTCATTGTTTGTTATGCCTTTGTGCAGTGTATACAATGTCTATAAGGTAGTTCAAGCAAGGAAAGGAAGCATGTTACTGGCATTAGCAATGGTAATACTGTTTATCTGGAATATATTCCTATTGCTTTTACAGGTTGCCTAATAAATGCATCTATTTTTTCCAGCTTTACCCTTTCGCTGTTCTGCTAGGAGGAGTTCTAGTATGGTATGATTCTAATATTTTTTAACCTGTGCTGCATGCTTTTCTATATGCTTTCCTTCAAAAGGCTATCTCTATTCATGAAAAATATGATCTTGTTTCAGGGATTATTTATCTCCATCAGATATTATGGGAAACTACCCTCATTTAGTTATATTGGGAACTGGACTTGCATTTGGGTTCCTTGTGGTAAGGATTTCATGAATGCACCATGCACATATCTTTTTTGGGTTGAGTTTGAAGGATTTCTAAATGTTTTTCTGTTTCTCTAATTCCACACTGAAATGAGGTGGTGAATCTTGGGAGGGTTTCCATGGCAGATGTTGCACAGTAGGGGCTATCAAGATTCAGGACACCCATAGCTTTGAAAAATTTCTTTGCATAAATGTCTATTTATTGGTCTACTCTCTAACTAGGCAGGCAGGCACAACCAATTCAAACAAGGCAGGATCAATTCGGTTTCTTGCTTTGGGTAATTTTCCGCTTGATTTGTGAAATGCGGGAAATGCCAATAAGCAGCATAAATTGAGTGGTTTATGAAAATTTGGGATCAATTTATAGAATGACTATAAGCAGCATCAAGTGATACAGAGATGTGGGTTGTGATTTTAAGTTCCTGACATGGCCCAAGTTCAATTAAAAACCAAAGGTGATACAAACAATGAAATAAAAGAAAAAACAGTCATGGTGGACGTACATGGCAATGGAGAAAACCTACTTCTTGAGACAGTACCGTGCATTAGTTGCTACTCATGTATTTCCTTTTCTTGGGAGTCTGCTACAGTTGGCTGGCCTTTGAAACCAACTAAATAGGGTGCTTGTATTGGAAGCCAAAAATCTAGCTTCCTTTTATTCACAGCCTTTATTAAAGTTATCAAAAACAGTCAAAATGTTCCTATGCTTCCCCTAATATTCTCTATTTTTTTCAAAAAAAGAAATAGCTTCCCTTAATGCTAGTACACTGTTTGATTTCCAACATTCTTACATTAATCAAATAAATCAAAGACAGTGCTATGATGGCCCAAGTATTGACTATAAGAACTAGAGAAATGTACAAAGTTTGACCTATATAGAAACTCCCTAGAAGGCTAGAACTTCCCAAATATTGTAAAATTTAAAGCATGGACTTGGGGAAGGGGGGATGCCCTTTAATTTCACACTTTACAGCCTTCACATCTTTCCTTATTTGCTTTCTCACACATTTATTAATGTTGTTTTCATGTGATTGTGGTGATTGCATTCTTCCCTTTGATTAGATGGTCTGAGATAGAAAATACATGTTGACAGGGAAGGATGATTTTGGCTCACTTGTGTGATGAGCCCAAGGGCTTAAAAACGGGAATGTGCATGGTATGTCGTACATCATTAACTTGAAATTAGTTTTCCCGTATATATATATATATATATATATATATTCAAATTTTAGAAATATAGGATATATTTGTGGCAGACAGTTAGAATACTAAATTCTATGTTATTTTGAACAGTCATTGTTATATCTTCCATTTGCCATTGCAAATGCGCTTACAGCTAGGCTCAATGATGGGTATGTGACAATTCTGTTCCATGTGAAGTTTAATAAATAGGCAATATACTCCATCTATTTTAACCATTGTTTTGAAACTGGACCAAACATTGGATTGGGAAGGTGGAAGGAGTCGGGTTTTTTTTTTCAGTTTACTACCAAAATCATTGAACCAATTTGGGGTTCACTTCCCAATCCAAGTTCAACTGTCCAATTTGGTCCAGCTTTCAAAAGATTGATTTTAACAGCACCTTTTCAACTTAGCACCTTCTGTGTTCCTTTTGTGACAGAGTTCCATTAGTTGATGAGAGCTTGGTTCTTATTGGTTACTGTGGCTTCACAGGTAAATGAATTGCTTATTTTTTTGTGGTTCATAATACCATGCATTATTACCAATCTTTCATTCAGAGCAATAACCAAATCCTTCGGTTGAAAATCATCCACCTAGCTCCTAAATCATTCTATATTGCATAGCTTTTCTCATGTTACAATTTGTATCTCTGTAAAGAATATTTTTAAATATTTATTTTGGACTCCCTATTCTCATATTTTAGTGTGTGTGCAAATTGGGCATAAACTGACTAAATTGAAACCAAGCATGAAGCTCTGCAGAATTGTTGACTCCATTTCTATCCTTTGACATTTCTAAGTCCCCAAGGGCATGCTTATCTTTCTGGTTTTCAATTTCCATGTCTCCCAATTACTTTATTCTTATAGTTTGTGTCTCATGTGTTTCTTTCCTCTGAAACCAGTGGTACTATATTTGCACTTTGCCACTTCTGTCATCCATGAAATCACCACTGCTCTGGGAATCTACTGCTTCAGGTGAGAAATAGTGTGCTCTATCTTGTTCAGAGTTGGTTCAGATAAGTGAACAATGAGTAGCTTCTGGTCGTTAGCTTATTAAGTTGGTAAAATCTGTTTATGTTGAAATGGCAGACCTGGATATCAAACATGTCTTCATCATTTCCTTCTAATGAGGATAAATGGTTCCCCACCTAAAGATTTACTACAAAAGTCACTGATATTATTCCCTATGGTCCTGTTGTTCCATAAAGCATGGAAGCATCAGTCCCACTGCTGTTGAGCTGCATAAATGTGGCCACATTTTAAAAGAGTAGATAAGATAGATGTGATAGTATGACCTTATGAGAATGTACTGGATGCTAGGATAAGTTCTTGGCCTCACGACTTGGTACCTTATAAAATTCTTTAGAGATTGTTTCAAAGTCGTAAGGGTGTTTCTAACTATTTCCATACGAATTGACAGGATAACGAGGAAAGAAGCTTGAGAACAGCTAACATTTTATTATTTTTTGGGGAATCAACTCCGAAGGCATGTACTATTTATTTGGTGGGTTTGGTTGGCGCATCTGGACAGGGTTTTTTTCTTTTTGTTTTGCTATTTATAGTTGAAGTTTGGATGATAGTTTCTCAAACATATCCCTCAGTTTTTTTTGGGATTTTTGTAGGGAGGCAGAATCCCATATAGTGATGATGACCATGAGACTGTAGATTTGTTGGTCTAAGGTGTATTATTTCTTCCAGTTAGCAAGGACTGACTCAAGGTCGCTGAGCTAATTTATTTCTATCCAACTCTTATTCTGACGATTGACGATTTGGCCGATTTATCAATTTCATTTCATCAACATAAATTAGGCCGATTGACGATTTGCAATGTTGTGAATATCAGGATAACTATTTAAATTTGATTATATATTACTGAAGAATAAAGAAATTCAGAATCACATGTTCTGTGTGGTTTACTGCTTCCTGGTTTATTAAGTGGCCACCCGCCACTCGGGTATGTTTTTTTCTTCTTTGCTGAATAAACAAACCATATTACTTGAAGATTAAAGTAACAAACTGCTAAGCATCCGGGATCCCCGGAGGGTAGGCATCATACCAAACGTGACGTTCTATAAGAGTTTTAGCTAAATGGGCCTAACAGTGAGCTGGGGTATTGACTTTTCTATTTAGTATTTACATGACAAAAAGAAATTGGCTGAACTTTCTTCAGGAAGTCTTGTGTTGCAAAAAAAGTGAAGATCATCCAGGCAAAAAAGTGAAGAAATTGGCGGACTCTTATTTTGCAAAGCACTTGGAACCTCTTGACTATCCAGGCAAATCAAAAGATCATCCCAGATATTTGTACTTTGCAGCTGCAATGAATCCGTCCAAGTCCAACAATGGTAAAAATTATTTGATTGTGGTCGTGAAAGATTTCACCAGTCCGTAGTGGACAATCCTGCCTGCACCTGGGGTGGGGGATGAGCTACCTTGGAACAAAACAAAAACAAAAGAAATTATAAAAATAAAAATTTATCCGGGTTTTTGGTGGAGAAACTGATGGATCTAATGGCAAAGCAGTCAATTTATGATGTTCTTTGAGAGGAATTGAGGGCGTTCCCTATTAGCACTGTAATTCTAGAGATGTAATGTAAGACGAAGACATGCCAATATGCGCTAGTCTTGGAAAATATTTTGTGCTAATTTAACTGATTTTTAGTATGGAAATTTATGATGAATTTCTCGACTCAGACTAGTTTATGTTATGACAAAGGAATTGTGTTTCGCATACGTATTTACTTAATTAGGTTTTATCTCATTTTGCTGTGTTTTAGCCTTTAGGCATGTGGTCTGTTATATCTTTATGGTTCACAATGCTTGCCTGCGTAGATATGTTTTTTGGTGGCCTCAGAATGTCATCAGTTTCTCCACCACAAATCCCCAACAGTTTAATAATATCAGAAATCAGAATCAGATTCAATGGATTATGCGAATATGGCAAAAGTTAAGCCATTGAGACGATTGGTCATAGATTAAGTATATAACCCCATCTGGTCCACCAAATATGCTGCGGTTCACTTAAATCGTTGGCCTCCTGCATCTTCTCCACTGAACGACTCCCTTTAGAAATAGAATCGTCAATTCAACACTTCTTGGCAGATAACAACTTGATTCACTTTTATAATAATTCATTAACATATAAGATTAGAACTCAGGAGACTGCGAGTGCGCATGCACTTGCTGACACAAATTGTGATGTAAACGGTGAAAATATAAAAATGGAAGCTGTCGCACCTAAGGGTGGAGCTGCTGTTAACGACAGCATTTCAGAAGCATTCAAAAATGTAAAATCAACAAGATCAGCCCTCTTTACACCATCCGGTTCATACTTTCCTCAGAGCTTTCAAAGAGTTCAAATAGAGCAATTAATCACCATGTAATATTTTCTCAACATATTGTGGTGGGTCCTGATGTTGCTAATCTAGGACAAGTGGCAAGTTATGGGCCCAGACCGGTTAGGAGTCAGTCTGGGTTTGAAACATGCTGAACCGTTGAAGAAAATAAAAGAGCAGAGACACAGAGTAGTCGGTCTGGGTTTGCTGTTGATGAAATCTGGTCTACAAATACTACGCCTACGTGCCAATTATACTAATGACATGTGCCTAGAACCCCCCCCCCCCCCTTCCCAGATCAATAAACAATATGATTCATATGATGAAACACTAGAGTCCTCAAATTCTTTAACAAATCAGAGGATTTCATTAATATGGATTCATCACCAAACTTTGGGAGTCAACCAACTTCAAAAAATATGGATTGTGCTTCCACATCGATACTACATCAGGCGTTATCCTTTTCCTTAAATAAACAACTAATAACTTAGCTCAAGCACACGCATGAAGTCCGTGTTCTTCTCCTAGTATGAGACGCCATCGTCCATACCACATTGAAGTGCTTCATGCGGCTTAAAACAAATTGCTTGTCGCTTTCTAATTTTAAAGAGTAGTCACCAAACGTGGGATTGGTCATGATCTACCCGGGTCAAATCTGAAACGGGTCCAAGAAGTTTACAGAACGAATCTGAATTTCCAAAATTGTAGACCCACTGACCCAGTTGACAACAGACAACCTCAACTGGGTCCCTTTTTTCCTTCAAAAACCTCGAGCTGGGGGTTGATGTTTGGATGCATCTGGGTAGGAATTTGGAAATTACTGGAAGGCACTGGTTCATGAAAATGATTTGGGTTTCTTTTCCATGTTTTAGTCATTTAGAATTACTCCTTTTTTTTTATAAACTTATATTTTTTTCCTTTTCTTTTGGAGATTCTACCGCCCCTGAATCGGACTGTTTGGCCCATTTTCTCTACAAATCATGAAAAATAAACTGACCAAAGAACCAGACTTCACCAATTCAATTCCTGATAAATTGGAATTTAATTACAAAGACTTTAACAAACTTAGTGTCTAACAGAAGTTGTTATTTTGTTGTCTTACCCCCCAAAATTGCAGCTTTTAATCTCCGCTTTAGCTCCTTGCTATATGTATAGATAGAAAACAAGAAAAAAGAAGAAGAAAGTTAGAAAAGAAAATGGGAAACCCAACAAATAATCCAACCAAGTGAACCAGAAAAGAAGCAAATACCTCATCAGCTGTCTATCCAAGGTTGAAGCAGATAAAAGGCCTTTGTTCTCTTCAGCTCTTCTGAGAAGGTAAGGCATGACTTTCTCAACTGGTCCAAAAGGTAAGTATTTGCTCACTTGGAATCCTGCACTCTTCAGACCATAAGAAAGCCCTTCTGCCATTCCCTTCAGCTGGGCAAATTGGAGTTTTTCATTTCCCTTTCCAATCCCCAATTCCTGTGCCTTCATTGTTGCCACCTTCCCTATTGAGATCATTCATAGAATAACATTTTTATGTGGAATTACTACTATTAATGGTAACTGTAGTTGCTTTATTAGATTTAGATGTAGTTACAGAAAAGATGGAATGGGATTGAATTCCTTTACCTGATTCAAGGTTATGGGTGGCAAGAACAACAGCAGCCGATCCCCTAGCGACCTTTTCTAGCATAAATGAAGTGCAATCATTGTAGCACGCATGAGTCTCCTTAATGCTTCCATGAATAGGGGAACAAAAACCCAAAGAAGAAGCTATCTGGGTTTCACTAGACAAATAGGCCCCTCTCACCAACTTAAAACCAATCGGAATTCCCATCTTCTCTGCTGCTTCTGTTGCTTGAACCATCCTCTGCTTTGAGTCTTTCAAGTATGCTTGAATTGTACCGAACACGATTGGAAAGCCATCTTTGTTGAAGTCGATTGCAGCGCAGTAAGTAAGATAATCAATTGCAGGTTGCACTGATGTGTACTCTGCATCAACAAGCAATGGAAGATTGGTTTCAAGGCATTTTTGGCATAGCTTCATCAGTCTTTGGTGGGTTAGTTGGAGATCTTTTTCCTCTTCTGCAGTCAAAGGGTCTGGTCTTTTGAGAGTGTGATAGAAAGGGCTGGCATTGGTAAGAAATGGCATTGTATCCCGCTTCCATGGAAGATAGAAAGTGGGGTCTTTGTGTTTCCATCTCAGTAAATCACTTACACGCCCAAGCAGTGAAATTGGACAAATTGCAGAGATCTTCACACAGGCAAAGCTTACCTGTTATCAAGAAAGTAATTCATCTCATAAGCTCAATCTACTGTGTCTAAAATCAAATTTTGTCAACTACCCGCTAATGGAATTAAGATAGTCTGCCATCATGTGACAGACATAAATTTTAGGAGCCAGATGATCAAGGTAGAGCAACCTTACTGTATGGTCCATATTGTCTTAGATGTTCTGTTCTGGAAGATACGAGTTGCTGTCAATTCAAATAGACATCATATTTGATTCCAAGATGGAAAATTTGTTCGGAAATTTGTCTTTACCTAAGATAACAGATTCTTCAAGATTCTGGAATTGTAATCACATTAAACCAACAACAAGAAAAAAAAAAGAAAGAAAAGAATTCTCAAGGGGCTGTTTGGCATCGTTGCCCTTTCCTGGAGCAATGGCACCACATTGGCGCCACATCAGAAAAAACAGTATTCCAACGGAATTCCAAATCAAATTTGATATTTCTTGGAAATGCAGCTCGTTGGTATCCATAGGGCAGTGATGTGACATTGAATAATTAGTACCAGTCTGAAAACGTTTCTTAGAGCAGAATGGGAACTGCTCTTCATACAGGAGCGCCTCACATGCACATCCACCGTGCATTGAGAACATCTCCTAAGTTATAAGTACGGGAGATGTTCGCAATGTATGGTACGATGTGCGCATGAGGCGCGAGTGAGGCGCCCCGTGTGAAGAACAGTTCGGTATCTCTTGGAGGAATTGTACCAAACAGAAAAAATTGCTGTTACGCTTCCCAAGTGATCATAGCCAATTCAATCAGAAGGATTTGCCTTGAATAAATGAAAGCAATCTTCTCCTTAATTTAGTAAATACCATTTATGTAACTTACACAAAAATAGAGACCACTAAATTGAATTTCAAATTATTCAATAGGCAGCAAATTAGGAAAACAGGATCAACAGCAAAAAAAAAAAGAAAAAAATCCAACAACAAGAAGTTGATCTTATAATGAAACCGCGGAACCCATAACATGAGTCAGATAAAATTCTTCAAAAACAAGAAAACAGGGCCAACAAAAAGTTCAAAACAGAAACTTACAGAAGAAGGTGGAAGAAACTTGGTAGAATCGACAGTCTTAAGAAACTCCTCCAAGTTCCGGTCGCATGAATCATTATCAGTGGCGTCCTCCAAACTATAATCCAAAATTCCCGTCAGCCCATCATTCCAGAGTCTTTGAAGTGTCCGACTGGCCTCTTCCACGTTTTCACCAGCACAGAAATGCTCGTAGAATGTGTGTTTCACAGTCGTCAATATGAACTCCCTGATGATCGCGGTCTCTACCAACCTAGACCTCATTACCCACATACCCAACTCGACGACCGGACCAAACGCAGCCATGTGAAGGTTCAATGAAGATCTTAATAACTGAACGGTTGAAACCGATTTGAACAACTTCTCAACATCGTCGAGGTTTAGAGTTGAGCAGGGAGATGCGACGGCGACTGGTTTCACAACTGTGCCATCGGCTTTCTCTGACAAACCCAACGGAGGAACGGTGGCGACGATTGATGAAGAAGAATTCAAGGATCTGACGATGTAAGGGAGGTTACAAAGGAGCTTTGGGGACGACCGCATAGCCATTAAAGATTGAGTTGGAGACCTGAGCTTCTGCTTTTCCGTTTCAAATTTCAATGTTCAACAGCGCATGCTCTTCCTCCGCTGGCGTCTGCCTGCGGTCATATAGACGTATCACGTATTCACGTGTGCTATGAGGGGTACTTTCGTGATTATACAAGAATAGAAGGGCTAATTTCGTAAGTTGGTCATGGTGGATGACTGGATGTGAACAGAGATGGTGCAAAAGTCACGGAGAATCCAATAGATTTTACTGAGATATTTCATTAGCCAGCTGGAGGGAAAAGCTTGCCAATTCCTGTCAAGAATTTTAGCCTGACAGAGAAGATTTTCATTAGGGACCTGAATCTCTGAATTTTCTTAATTAAAAGTTTATTTTTAGAAAGATATTTATTAAATATTATATATTTAATATATATATATAATAGATGATGTGATAGTTAAATATTAAAACTTTAAAAAATAAAAAAGTACAGGTAATGAAAATAATATATATAAATTATGTCAAATAAAAATTAAGTGTGATAAGTAAAAATTATTTATATAACATAGATGAAATATATAATTTTAAACTGATCTAAAAATAAAAATTAAGTGTAAATCAATGATCCAACTTTTCAAAGAAACGTATGATGTCATAATTGAATAATAAATATTTAAAATAGATAGAACACAACAATTGAAAAGCACAGAATTTTGTGGAAAACATTTGGGAACATTTCTAATGTTCTATATTCATCATATTAAATAAAAATTATTTTCCTTGTGACAGAAATGGAATACAAAATTATTATTATTATTGTTGTTGTTGTACACATGCATTGCACATAGTTTGAAATTTCTATGTTTAATGCATGTGCACATTTATTACAAGAATTTAAGTTTATTCTTAATTATATTATTACTTTTGCTAATTTTCAATTTTTATCTTAACTATGACATATCTAAAATTCAAGTAATTAATTTGAAGAAAAAATTCTCACGTGTAATGCACTTGCTTAGTTACTAGTCTTAGTAAATGTTAAAATGCATTATGAAACATAAAACCAATAAAGTAAAACTTTAATGTGGTTGATTAAGATCTGAAATTAACATAACTTTGAACTCATGATATTATACGGGGTGGATTACTTAAATATACTATATGATTTTGCTAAACTACTTAAATATACCCTATTGTTTTTAAAATCACTTAAGTATACCTTATTAAAGCATTTAACCAGAAAATATATGTTGTTTTTAATTATTCTCAAAATTTTCAATATATGCACTTGATTGCTTTGGAAAAATGCATTAGACAATTAATGACTTATGTTTTTCCCCATCACACACCAACGCCTACTTCAAACTAACAATGAATATTTAGTATACATTCATCTTCCTCTTTTCTCCAACATACACACTTGGCACTTCCAAGTTGCAACCCAACTCCACACAACCTCCATGTTAGCAGTTAGCACTATAGGTGTAATGTGGGCCAGTGGCACGGTTTTGTTGTGCCGCTAAACTGTAGTTGGTCATGTCAGGCTGGGCTGGTTCATGGGCCAACACGAAATAAGGTAAATTGCTGAAACCTCCCTTCAAGTTTCAGATCATTGCTGAAATCTTTCCTAAACTTTTTGATACAGTTGCAAGTAGACCCCCTCAAGTAGAATTTTCTAATTAAAAAAGGCATGAAAATGTCTAAAATCCCAATGCAATTACTATTGAGGCTGGTTACTACGGGAGGAGAAAAACAATACAAACTTTATGAACAATAAAAACAAAGAGAATTTAAAGTTGCACCTTTACTTTTAAAGCAATTGATATGAAGGGCAAATTTAAAAAATAAATCAATTTTAGAAAAGAGATTAGATGGATTTGGGATATTATTTCATATGAAGAGAAAATTTAGAAAATAATCATTTTTGTCAAAAGTAACTACATGGATATTTTAGAGATTTTCATGCCTTTTTTTTAAATGATTCTACTAAAGGGGGTCTATTTTCAATTATATTGAAAAGTTCAGGAAAGATGATTACAATTACCAAACTTCAGGTGAGGTTTTAATAACTTACCATCATCATCATTATTATTATTATTATTATTATTATTATTATTATTATTATTGTTATGTAGATATAAATTATATTGACAGGCACCGCACAACACTATCACACAGGCCTAGCCCACAACCGGCCCAGCCCGTTTTACACCTATTGTTAGCACCAGTCGGTCTCCAAGCTACTAACCCATTGTTTCCAGCCGTAGTGATTCAATATCCGTTTCGGCTGCTGATGAGTTAAGAAACCCAGATTCTGCTGAGAACGTTTAATTCAACAATATGTCGTTTTACAAGTTGGCAGATTTCTCAGACCATACGATCTCTGTGAGGAACTGGTGGCATTATATCCTTGCAACACAGGAAGGAATGAATCAATGGGGGGAGCATATGTGAGACAGTGGAAAAAGTTGTTGGATTCATTGAAGCTGATAAGTGATCACTCAGTGGCCTAAGACAGGTGGAGGAATCACAAGTGAGTCCTGAAGATGAAGCTGCCCCTATCATGGACACCACTAGCAGAGTAGGGGAAGATGTACCATTATTTGAGGGTGAAGGGTGAATAAAGAGATTCATTTCCCCGTTGGGAATAACAAGTCTATCACCTATTAGAATCAAGGTTTAAAGTGTCAATATGTATCGGCCAATATGTGTTATGCCAGGAGCTTCTTAATACGCCCCTACAGGGATTGTATCGGGTCAGACTATGGTTCAGAGAGTAGTCAGGACTTAAACCGATCTCTCTACAATGGTTTTGAAAAAAATAAATAAAACATAAAAAAAGCACCGATACAGGACCGGTGTATCGGCCTGTGTCGATATTTAGAACCTTAATTGGAATGCATGAATTACAGATCCTAAAACTGTTGTGATCAATGTGTTGATTCTTGCATTAAGCTAGGGGTGCAAATGGATCGGATTAACTGATCCTATATATATGTTAATTTTTTATTTATAAATATGTTATTTATATTGCATTTTTGTAAAATTTTTTTATATTATATATATGATGAAAATAATTGAAAAAATATTTTTGTTTTTTGTTCTTCTTTATTTAAATTGTTATATTTTTTTTAATAGTTCATTAATTTCTTTTAAAATTAAATTGGATCAGATCAAGTTCAGATATCTGACATCCTTATCAGATTCAAATCTGAATCAATATGTGTGAGATCTGATCAGATCTTTGGATTGGACCTGCAGTTCATTGGATCGGATTCTGATATACCCTGACTACATCAATTTGAGAGTTCCCGTCATGGGGTTGATCCTTTAGGCTTAGTTTGGAACGAGTACAAATACAAATTTGTAGAGGCAAAACCTCTTATATTTTATATTATTGTGTATATTTGTATTGTACATGTTTATATTTGTACTCTTTTTAATTGGAACCTTTATTTCAAGATTTTGAAATGTATATATTTGTATTTGCATTCTTACCGAACTAAGCCTTACATAGTTCCATAACCAAATATGTAGAATACAAAACCTTATATTTTGTATTATTTTATATGTATTTGCACTGTACATATTTGCATTTATACTCTTTCCAAACTGAGCCTTAATTGAATAACCAACTTTCAAATGCAGAAGCAAATGAAAAAAATAAAAGTACCTCAACGAGTTGCTACTGCACTATCAAAAGCATAAAGGAGGTTACTACCTCTGCTTGACGGTTACATATGGAGCAGGACAAAGAAGAAAAACAAGTGAGTGGAGGCATAATTGGAGTTTTAAAGAGGGCCCCGTTTAGCGTATTTTTTTGTGTGGGTTGTCGGCTTTTTAGAAGTCTGACAACCCTTGTTTTCGTTTTTTTCCATTTGGTTGAGAAAAGATTTAGCCATCAAAAGACATTGCACTAAAAAGACGTGTGAAGCTCGTTTTGGACGATTTCCAGGAAACTTCAAATGAAGCTTTTTGGAGTGTTTTTTTTTTCAAATTATTTTTGCATAGAAAGTCATGCCTTAACCAAACGATTTTCAAGCTGCTAAGATCTTAATGCAAAAGCTCACTATGTATTTTAATTGTCAAAACTTTCAGAAGATCTTTCAAAAAAGATTTGCCAAACCCTAAAATATAAGAGGCACGTGAGGAGTAAATTTAAAGTCTGGGTAGTGTGCAAATCGGATTGGCCCAAGTTAGCTTTTTGACACTGCTTTGGGCTTAGGCACTTTAGGTTCACTCTATTCAAATTTTGATAAAAGCATCAAGCCCACCTAAGTTGCACTCTTAGGGCTATTTTTAAGGCCATCTGTCATTGTTTAAATCATCATCATCGTCATCCATGCCTTATCCCAACAATATGGGTTTGGTTATCTGTCACTGTTTAATTTTTAGGGAGAATGATCGATACCCCTAGTGTCAGAATTTGTAGGTTCAAAGTACATTTGGGGTAGGTGGTAGCTTGGAATTGATGCCAATTCACGGGCGGGAATGGATGCATAGGGTGTGATTTTAGACGTTTTGAATGTTTATAACTGTGCAGTGGGAATCAGAAATCTACATTAGGTGTATCCGTACTTCTCCATAATTTTTATCATTTTAAAATAAAATACAAAAAATAGTTGGTAATATATAGAAGGTTAAATATTTGATTTAATTCATTTTATATAATTTTTTAATGAAAGTTTGAATTAGAAGGCCAATCTGAACCATACATCAGACCATCATCATCACACTGATCACCCGATATTGGAATTGGCTAATTGTTCACTTTTAGCCAACTAGTAAAAAACCATGTAAGCTTATCATGACTATGGGAAAATATAAAATCTTACTCTATTGCCTGGTAATAATAATTTATAAAACTGTAAATTGCAACATGAATCTTGTTATGTACCTTCAATTTAGATAAACAAAACAAGTATCAAGACACTTCATCTGCTCTAGAACTTCATCCATGCCATATCCCTAGCTGTGGATCGTAACATTTCAACCATGGTTTTTAAAACCGAGTAATATTTCAACCAAGGTTTTTAAAATCGGGCCGGATAGGGAATCATCTTGGGTTTGATTCTCAGGTTGAATGGTT